CAACGGGCTCGTGTTAAAATGACGTCGCCGCGAAAGCTTCCTTGGACGAGTGAGGGCAAACGAACTTTCGGAGGTATCTCTTCGGTTTGTCCTCAGTTATACAATCGGGCCTGCTCTCATCCGCGCATCAATGTTCTAGGCAGTCATTTTATTGCGCAAGAAATAAAAGTCTAAGGCCCGTATTCATAGTCGTGATTCTGCTGAAAAACTCAGCTGAAACCAGTCTTGGGACATGATATTGTTTAATAGATGAATCTTGAGACTCAATTTGATATTTCTTTGTAATCTCGATTCAATAGAGATTCTCAAGGGAAGTTTTAGAAAATAGTTTTTGAATTTCGTATCATCTAGAACCGATATTCATAGTCGGATCTTATGTTCTTGAATTTATCTAAAGCTGCTGTATGAAACATTTCATTGGCTACGGAGTATCTAAAGATGATCTTAAGTCTTGAATTTAAGGTCTTGAATATAAGATCTGACTATGAATACCGGCCTAAGATTTGAGTCGGGAAAATTTGAGTCTCACTCATTGCGTATCGTTGCTTTAATCGATGCTTTGACCCTCAAGGCGAATTTTAGGCGAGTAATCGGTCCCCTTTTCAGCTGAATACAGTTTCAGTTGATCTTTAATCAAAATGTTATAACTATTGAACCGTCGTTACTAAGACAAAAACATTCTTGACGCATTTATATTCCTCACAACCTCATTTAGCATAAAAATAAGACAATAACAAAATAAAATCAATAATTCTTATTCTCCTCTATCGAATTAAAAAAGATTGACTTACTATATTGAGACAAGAGTAGCTTATATAAATGTAAGTTTATATATTCTTGCGTTTAGAATAAATTTTCCATCCATCTTACAGCGCACGAAGTTGGCACCGCGATATTCGACAAAAGTCGATTCTAGATTTTAGAATTTTTCATTTAAGATTAAAATATTCCTTTCTCTATAATAAATATGATTGGCGCCATATCGATCCTATTTTACGATACATTTAAGTGTAATAGCATTGGATCCGGAAATTCTTCTGTGGGTGTTGAGACGAGAATTGAGAAACGACTATAAATACGGGACGTAAATTGCGGTGATAACGTTAACCTTTCCATTTTTCGTAGCAGATCCCTTCGCAAATCTTGCACGGCTCTTTTGACGATCCCCTCCCCGCAAATCCCTGCCTGTTTCATTGCTCTCCTTTTTGTGGACATTATTCTCTCGTTGCCCGGAATATATGAATTAAGGAAGCGCCCAGCTGCCATTGTAGTTATATATCCATGGATTAAGCGGATATTTTATTAGGCCGAGATCGATAAATACCCACAGGAAGTAGATTACGGAAGCTTCATTTTATCCTCGGAAAAAAAGGCTTTAACGAGATTTTCATCGTTGTCTATTCGTTATTTCATTTAGTCTGGAAGACATTTTACATATCTTGAGTACAGTTTCTATTTTTAAATTTATAACATGTTGATGCGTATCAGGTGTGTGAAATACTTTTCACAGGTTCTCTCAATAATGTTCGCGAAATTATACGTAAACTAAACTGTAGCTATTTAAACATGTTCAAGTAATCTTTCATGCTGGTAAGAAAGGTATAGAGATGTGACAATCACGAGAATCATTGCTACACACGATCTACTTCATCTACTTGAGATGAACTTATCCGTTACGAGAATGATTTACAGTTTGTAAAGGGTTAAGGGTTACATTAAAGACTTTAGTCCGCTTTAACCGAATGCTCGTGTCATGCTCGTATTATTCCTCCGCCATTTCATTAGGGCATCGTCAACGCTTCTTCCGTGTGTCATGTTTCAACTCGTTCTCACACATCGACTCGATATGGCTCTTTATAGAAGATACAAGCAGTTGTCAGGTAGTAGTGCTCTTCAGACAAAGCAAACGTCGAGGAGCTATTATACGGTCAGGACATCATGCCTGACATGAAGCAGTTTAAGAGGCGAGACTTACGAATGAAAGCACCCAAGCCGCGGCATAGACTTTCATCATTGGCAACATAATCGTCTTCCGACACTTAATATTATTTAATCTGCAGGATTGCGGCATCTTAATTTGTACTTTATACGACTTAAAATTTTATCTATGCTGCACAAGAAAGATAACCAGTAATTTTCTTGAAAGTACAGTTACGATATGCAAATTGAAATTTGAATAAGACTGATGCGCCTATAAATTGCTTCATCATGATATTTCTTGATGAAGCCTCCTTGTCAAGATGCTCCTTCCCAAATTACTTTACACTTACTCATCGCGATTCATCGCCGACATGTGCAAAGTTACTTGCAAGACATCCAGTTCTTGCTACATTGCGTGTTTCTTGTTCGAGGCCCTGGGAGCGATGTCATTTCCGCATTTCTTGTACAAACTGGTAATTTGGAAAGAGCAGTTATGTTGTAGAATTTACATTTTAATTACTATTTTCGAACTCTCTCTTCTCTCTACGAAATATTATATCTTTCTTGTTTTTATCTGTATGTAATAATATGCGTGTAATAATATAAAAAAATATGATATTATATTTGCGTGCGAATATGTGGAGGAAAGTCCCCTTTTATGGGAAAGGCTTCTAATATGAGATAACGGAGTTTCTACTAAAGGCATCGTCTGTTGGTTCCACCACGAATTTATTGCCCTTGGAGTGAAATCTGTTTAGTAGAAAATTGATCGTTAGATCGTGTAATCGTTGCGAAAAATGATTTGTGATCGAATTTGGACGTTGAAAACCTCCCGTCTCGTATTAGAATCCTATCTCATAATAGAGAACTTTCCTTTAGATCATGATTATATTAAAATTTGTATTTATTTTATAAAAGGTTTTACATAAATTAAAATTGAATTTGATTATTGAATTAAAATAAATTATAATAAGTTTTATACATGTATATATAACTTATTATAAATTATTATATTATTTAATAGTTTAAAGTTTCTTTAATAATTTCATAATTATAAAAAAATGCTTATTGAATGCTTGTTTTATGAATGTAATATACATTGTAATTTTCTCGTATGAGAGAATGAAACATATTAACCCATTAATTATACATATATGTTTATTATAGTGGGTACAAGAGCTTGCTGAGAAACTGCATAAGAATTTATGATTTTTATCAAAAAATTTCTTATATTATGCAATTATTGTATCATACATCAGTTAATTTATGAAACACTATTAGAACCGCAATATACCGCCATAAACGTTTTATGCAATTTGAAAAATCTATCTTTAAAAAATGAAATAAGTTACAATGGATAAGAGCATTGAAAGCATTATTTGCTCATCTGTCAGGCATATAGATTGATTGGGCATATCACGTTTCATCATAGTAAAGTAGCAAGTTTAGGCAACTCTAATATGTTTCTTTCGTAAGTGTGATGATTCCGTAGCAACTTCCATCGCGCGAGAAACTCGCTTCTCACATGCTGTGGCGCGTGCTTGGCGAATAAGGAATATGAGACAGTAAACGAGATGATAAAGATAAATTATTAGCAGTAGATGGAGGGACATTTATATCGGGGCTCAACATGCCAAGAGACAGGCCAACAACAAAGCTGAGCGAAACTCATAGTCGCCAAAATATTTCAATTTCTTTTTTTATCTCTTAACGAGTCAATTTCTTTTCTTATCTCTTAGTGATAATTCATTAAATAATGTCACAATGAGAAATTATTTTAGTCCAGAATTTATTCTTTTTCTCTCGACGGAAAATTGTCGAGTCTGATGAGATTTTCGGCATTAATTGAATTTTGTACATTTTTGACTTAATAATAATAAAATTCTTGTGCGAATTTTATTGTAAAAGTTTTTTGAGATATTTCGAAATTTCGGAAGCGTAACAGAGTAATCAAACAAAAATTCCCTTATTTTATGTACGCAATTGGTACAATGAACACAAATACAAAAGCGCGAGTTTTGAAAAGTTATTTTGAGAAGTTATTGATAACATTTTTAAATTTATTTATTATTTTACGATCAAAAATTATTATAAAGTAAAGAATATCTCTCTCTCTCTCTCTCTCTCTCTCTCTCTCTCTCTCTCCACATCCAAGTAAAAATGCGTTTTAGACATGCGCATTTTACATAATGTTTCAGTTATTTGGTTTAAGCATATAAATTAATATTTTTATAGAAAGTTATAATAAATGCTCCACTTACTGACCGAGAAAATACATAAAGAAAGCATGTGCGTAAAGTTTTATAAAATTAGTCTATCCAATTTATCTTTTTCTCTGAAGTAAACTTTTAATTTTATCAATCTTGATAACAGTTACAAATTACAAATTGAGATGGTATATGAATAGTTTATTAATTGTATATATTTAACCATTTGTAAGTAAATTTAGCGCTACACTCCTTATCTACGGTTTATCCTTCGTTACCTATTTTATTCGTACAACTTTAGCTACGGTGCATACTAACTATAGCTTTTGGCATGGCGGTAACGAGTTTACTTCACTTCGATACTGTCCGTTATACAAGGATTTGAGGCTGAGATAGTGGTTTGACTTTACTCATTAAAGCACTTCGATAGGAAGTCTAGGCGATTATTTGCCACAAGGGGAGAGATTTAACACAAGCTTTAATCTTCGATTGTTTCCTAATAAATTTGATGCTTTTACGACGCATAATTGATAGAAATGAATATACTGAGAGACTCATTATGTTATTTCAATCTTTTATTTCTTTTTATTATGAAAGTATTATGAAAAAAAAGAAAACTTAGGTATTAACTCTTAGCGCTTTAACACTGACTACCAAGCTGATTTCGGTATTGAGTTTCAATCTATTACAATATACCTTATAGGTTCTTTAATATCTTAAATAAACTTTAATACTTAATCGGGTAAATAAAACTGTCATCTAGAATTAGGTGAAGAGGCCTTTGCGATTCAGATATAGGTGTTATGACAATCAAAGTGTTAATTATTAAAGATACACCAGTGTAAAGAAATAGGGAACACTTTTCGTACACGTTTATTCAAAGGGTGGAAAATAGAGTTTCAAAAACAGCGTCCAATTTTTCACGATTGTAGTATAGACACAAGTGTATAAAAATACTAAATAACAGAAGTGAGATGCGCAACGAAAGGTACCGTTTGCATATACGATTTTGATTATTTCTGTAACATTCACGCAATCGTTCAGGAATCTCGACTCACCGGCTGTGTGCCATGGATGGTGATAGAATTTGACCTTAGCAGGCAATGCGACAGTGGCAGGAATTGAGAACTGCAGGCCTGGTCCCAGAATATGCACGAGAGTGCCGACGAAGGTTACCACCCAGCCCCATCCTCCCTCGGGATAATAACGTCGGCATAACAATTGTTTCGCCTGTACCTGATTGTTTTCCGGTTGAGCAGCCGCGATGTTGCTCTTCTCTACGCCGCCGTTGGTTTCCGTCGGACGATTTTTCTTCGGGGACGAGTCATCGACGGCGACCGTACGGTTTCTTTTGCCCGCCGTGTTCAGCAACGGCCAGGATCGCGCGCGGGATATCGACATCACAGACGGGAGAATTTCTTTCATGGCTACGTGCCCGTATCGTTGCCGATCGTGCTGTTCGTATACACGGCATTCGCATTGCATAACATTCCTGTTGCACGCATCGGCACTGCGTGAGACCGCGCGCGTTTTATTAGAAACATGCTGCCGATCCTCTCGAAGGCAGCGTATGTTCTTTCCATGCGTTTCTTCCGCACGACAGCTGCACGCCAACGTTTGCCGACTTGACGACACACCAAGCGTACCTGTTATACGCCCGATACCTTTTCGCGTATCTTGAGGAATCAGGAGAAGCTACTTCCCTTCTCCCGTTGTTTCTCTCTGTTATAGTTTAATGTCTTATAGCGATTGTCTCTGGTTCACAATTACTAAAAAGTGATTAGATAATGAACAGTAAGTTTAACAGTGAATGTATATTTATACCTGTAAGCTGTTTAATATGAAGTTTGTTCACGCCTAGTGTTGAAAGAGTAACTCGACTTTCTGAATATTAATGTTTCTTTCTCACTATTTTAACAATTTTATGATTGATTACCATAATTATTAATTTATGAATCCACGCTATTTAAACTATTTAGCCAATTTCGGCTAATGAGGGAATGTATAGATTACGAATTTTCAGTATAGATCAACCTTAAGTGATAAGATGATTAAAGCACTTTTTAATCATCAGTCACGACGAATCCCATGTCTCGGGCTATATTCAACAACAGGCTCTTCTTTAATTTTTCTTTCGTTCGCGTATCAGTTCAGTCTTGATCCGTAATGAATAGTAATGGAACGTGCGTCGCGTCGCCTTGCGGACAATGCCACTGTCAATTTCGGAAGTTTGGGAGTCAAGATTAATCGCGCGCTTTTTGCTCGCGATACGTCCGGGTGCTGTGTAAAATATGACTGACGTGAGATACTTTCCCCGTGGGTTATTACGATGAATTAATTTGGCGTTCTCGCCGAATCAGCTATTATAAATTACTGCGCGTTGCCCCTTCGTATCGCGGGATCGATCCATTGGCGGTTTCGCTCCCGTTAATGCGCTTAGATGAGGACGGGCTGTCTAAACGCTCGATTTTAATAAATTCTCAGCGTGAGCTTCGCTCATTGTGCAGCACCACGATTTATTATGTTTATGAATGCATCGTTTAATAACCTCCGCCGTCCTCTAAAAATCCCCGGTGTTCACCGAAAGAATGAATTGTCAAGTTGAACTTTTCGGCTAAAACAACGTTGTCTAATATGATTTGTTGTACACAATTTATTTTTTAAATTATTTGTCGTAGATAAAAGTTTAATGAAGAGAATCATTAAATTATTGTGAATTAGGTAGTTGCATGAAATTATAAGCCCGTATTTTGTAATAAGACAATGCTATTAGAAGAATCGTGAAGACATACTGAGAAATGATTGAAAAACAAATAAAGATAGTATGTAATTTAATCCCTAATTTATTTTAATTTCTATTTACACGTGTACTCACATATCACACGTACTTTGAAGGAACAAGCACAATAAAATATATTTCGCGTAGAATTTAGGTTTTCCATTGGTTTTTAATCGCACAATGCAGACATTTAAAGGGCTATATAATGTTTAAACGATTAAACGTGCGAAGTAAAATAATACCGTTATAACTAAAAGAAAAAAGTTTTGTGTCGGTCATAAGAATCATTTTTTTCAATCGTAAATTAGTATAGAATTTCAAGATTACCCAAAGATAACGTCGTCGGGATAAATAAGTGATTGAATGACAACGAATATGTGTCAGATAACGTTCGGTCGTATTCAATTTCAAGCGTATAAGGAGTGCGCTATAAAATGATTACCGAAATGAGTTAATAGGCTCTCGTAACCAATTTACGATTTTGTGCGGTCGCGTAAATCCACTGCGAGAGCGAAACTCCGCGCGAGTTTCTCGATTGGATGAATCCAGGCGTGATTGCGAGGGCGAAAAGAAAGAGTGAAGTGTTTGTGGGTAAAAGTTGCAAAATCGAACGCGGTTTTTTTTTATTTTTAAGAAAAGTCCCGACTTGAAGCACGGAAACAATTTGGAGAATCGACTCGCGGATCGGATCACGCGTAATCTTCCGACTGGGACGAGGTAACTGAACTAAGCTGTGTGTAAGGTGACTTGTTGAAGTAAGGCCGGCGTATTTGTGGAACGTAGGGTTTCGCGCGATATCGTCGACTGATGCCACGCTCCGGCGAGAGACAGGCTTTCCCTCTATTCTCTCTGCCTCCTTCCATACTCACCGTCGCCGTCTCTCGGGCACCACCACTACTTGTCGAAGACCACAACGTCATTGCCAATATCGTTATATCGCCTTGCAAGTCTCACTGCCCTCGCACCTGCATTTCTAGATCTGTATTCCTTAGAGAAACGAGTGTGCCCATGGTAACATTGCATTGATAATACTATAAGATTTAAACAATAAAATTCATAAGGCTCTGACGTGAAATCACAATTCAAAAGAATACCTAAAGGATGTAAAAGCCACGGGATGTAAGTGTCTAAATGATTAAAATTTTTTAATTTATTGCGAAAAATTTACTTTAGCCAGAGTTTGAACCTGGACCCTAGACCTCTCCTCTGACTAGGCGGGTGTCTATAAGATTTAAATTATTTTCTCGCGATTTTTTCAGAAATAAACTGGTGTCTCTTCGGGTCTTCTTTGTGCGCTGGATCGTAATATATTATGGTTTTATATTTTCTCTGTTATACATCGAGGCTGCTGTATGAGAGTTTATAATAATTAAATAATAGATACGATTTTTGTTTTCTCTGTATATTACTTTTAGGGATTACTTGAAGTACAAATTAAATTGTTAATACTAAAAATGATCTTATTCGAAGAATTTGAACATTACTTTGTAATATTGCTTTTTCCTTAATTTTTTGATTATTTATCACTATTCAAGTATTTGGTTTATCATAGCTTTCCATAAATTCCGTGAGTTATGTAGAAAGAAATTAGCACCTAAATTCCTTGCGGTTGAACATATAAATGACAACACCGTGATAAGAAAATTGTAATAGATGTGCGATTTCAAAGTATTTTTTGAAATTTCTACTATTTTATAAAAGATGTTAGAGACGTGTGTTCGTAATAGCGTGCTGACTTGCGACTTCCGTTGTCGAGAAATCTCGTGGTGGGAGAAGAGTCTCGGATATTCAGTAAAAATTACGAAAATAAAGTTTAAAATCGCCAATGTTATAAAAATCTCAGGAAGTCAACACACTTAAATTATAGACTTTGTGAAGCCACTTTAAATCAGATAAGTTTAATATTTTTGGATTACGTGCAACAATTTATGATCCAATTTAACACACGATTAAAGATTTTCTGGAATGAAAAAGGTGACAGTTTAATCTCTTGGTATTTTAGATACAGAAGAAAAAACGCATGTGTTATTAATATATTACAGCGAACTAAATTTATTTAATTCATTATTACATTGGTACTAGTTGATTTTTTAAAACCTCCCACATTTATAAAAGTAAATTTCTATATATTATATTTATATATTTTTTTCGTAACTTAAATTTGACCGATGCACCGAGTGAAACGCGTTCTTGAAGAAGGCATAGCAAAAGAAATGCGCCTGTCACGCGCCATTGACGTTGTACGCCCGCAACTTTAGAACGACAGATTCGGGAGGCATCTGCTCCTCCGCGGCAGGTCTTAGAGTTCGGACTTTACGTTCAGAATGTCTTTACAAAGCTAAAGCACAGATGGAAGAAAAAAAAACGGAATGGCAATCCCTGCAAAGATCCATATGCCATGCGTTTTTCTTCGGTGCCCGTGCTCTTTTCTCACCGCGGCGCGTGAATCGTGGACACGCGAGTGGCAGACATAAATTATATGGCGTAATTATATCTTCGCCTATATACCGAACGTCGTACCGTCGGCTCGTTTCCATCGGTTGAGGCAGACTGTTCCTCCAATATAAACGTCACCGCTGGCGAGTGTCCCTCGTAAAGTATTCCTTATATTTTGCTTAGTTCTTAAAATGCTGCCGGCATGCACTCTGACTCATCTCACGGTCAAATATATGTGTGAATTGTTCGTTTCCATTGCTGATTCTTCGATGGATAAAATTTATTGCCTGTGTGAATTTTTGACGGCGCGGAGATCGAACAACTAATCACCTTAGGTCTCGTGAATTATATGTAGGTTATTTTTAACTAAAATAAATTATTAAATTTGCAACAACAGTGTTAATGATATATTATTCTATAACAATATAATAATATACTGCGACATATGTGATATTTTAGAAAATAGATTACAGATTTGTTGAATTAAAATTGGGATATTTGTTATATTTCTTTTATGCGTATGCTATTTATGTCCATGGTAATAATTTTAATTGTTGTGAATCTGCAAAGTTTAGGTAGTATTTAAAATTCAGCGCAAATGATCTTTTTGTACAATTCGTATGAACTCGACACATTACTTTTTCAGAATTAAAGAATTCTTTTTCCGTTGAAAGACGCTTATGTTGTCTCTGAATTCTGTGTTGCAGACAAACTATTTGAGGATTATACTGTTGAAACATCGACAGTGCGGGTTGGTATTTTCTTGTATCTTATCGCGCGATTCTTCAAGCGACATACTGGAGCGATGTTTCGTGGACGCAATTTATAAACCGACGTAAAGGAAGTCCTATACAACTTTCGCAAGGATACAAATAGGTTTATTCTGTCCCGTATCTTTTTACAAGCTGGATCCATATAATTTTGCGTTTTACGAAAAATCATCTTCAGAAGATACAGCTGTCTAGAGAAAACTACCAAGGGTGATCTCAGACAGCATAAATATTGGTATAAAAAGGTTTTATAAACTTGGACAATACTATTGAAAATTGTCAGGTATTTATTGAAATATTTAACACTTATTCAGTTATATCTGTCATAAAACAAATAATGCCAGTAAGCGAGTAATTAGTATTGAATAACACGCTTTTGGGAGGTTCGTAAAAAATATTTGTATTGCAGAAATTGCTATAGAGACAGTGTTACTTGCGACTGTGGAAAGAAACGATATTGTTTCGGGAGAACATCGAGAGAGGAATGTTTCTTACTCGAATACTATGTTGCGACGGTGGAGGAACAAAAAGGAAAGGGAAAAAAGTACACGCGTCTGATAAACTCTCGTTGCGAGTATGGAGATTCGGCCCGGGGGGTACCACTTTCACCGAATGAAAGTAAAACTCGATTCGGCGCGGTCATTAACCGACCTCGCCGATTCCATTTTATTTACCATCGTACGACCGGCATATTCGCAAACTATAAAGTTTCGTATGAGAGAACTAGATCCAATAAAGTTTTATGAGAACGAGAAGGCGGGTGAGACGCCTTGAAGCGAATCAACGGCGCGAGCTGCGTCCTTCCTTTGTCTTATAAGACGCATCGCCGAGTCGCGAGATATTCATTCAAGTTTACGGCGATGCGATATGTCTAAGCGACAGCGTGTCTGCCATACATTTATGCATTCGCGAACGTAACGTTCGTCTAGCTTGTCGATTTTCGTAGCTGCGTAACCGAGCGATGCGTCTGCAAATTGGCACGCAGTAATTGTGGAAAATGCAATTTAAACATTTGTTATACAATTTTTCTCTGAAATGTAGTCCTCAAATTGTTTTTTGGGGTATAATGCTTGGCTATAATTTTTCATATACGTTTCGATAAACTCTACTTTGCATATCGGACAAAAATTACTCCTTGCTACTCGCGCACATATTTATAGCTACATAGTTTACAATAGTAATATAAATATCATTTACAAAAAAATAATCAGATCATTATTGCTTACACACATTGCTATTTCTATTTGTAAGATAAAATAATATTAATGCATTGAAATAGAAGAATTATATTTGTAAACTATTTGCGCTGTTATCAATCTTGATTGATTAATCTGTTCAACAAAGTTATATCTCTAATTTTAAACGAAATGGTATTGTACTCGGTTTGTAAAATTTTATAACCTATTTTATTTTGTCTTTGCAATTACTTACTTTAATTTATCTTCAACATCGGATTGTGATACATTGTCATCATGATAAGTAGTTAATATGATTTTCTCGGATAGCTACTGGATGATGCATTTTAACTTTAAATTGTTACTTTTTTAAGTAACGCTCGTTGCTTCTTCTAGTCGCATTATTTGCGTATCTTTATCTCGCGTTTTTACAGCCTTTAATTTACAGCTTTTCAGTCTCTAGTTGCAGTCTAGTGCGCAGTATATTATCTCGATACAAGCATATCCGGTTTTATGATTGTCACCGACGTGCACTGTCTATGAAGTCTTTTGGATACATTACTCGAGGTCCGGCGTAACTCCTCTTGCTTATCGTAGCGCGACTCAGGTAATTATGTGCCGCATAATTATGTAAATGTCCACCGTTGGGATGTGTACCACAGCAATTAGCAATTCAATAACTTAATTATGACGATAAATTACTCATTTCGCTAATACGTGTCAAGTGGTTACGATTTATTTGCCATTTCGTATGCATTTAGATGCATCTTGCATGTAACGTGATGAATATTGACGAAGATGTAATAATTAGATTAATGAGAAGAAACGCAGGTTATTTCTAAAAATATAATAATCTTTAATAGTTGATTAATTGCGATTTGTTTATTAAGTACGGTAACAATTTTTGTAGGAAGATAATAAATAATGTACTATACATACAAACGATATTGTATAAAATTTATGAAACGATATTATTATTTAAAGTGATGGGTTTAAGATATTGACGTTTGTATATCAACGTACATAATCATTCATTTTCAAATTTCAAGAGAAATTCTGATATAACCTGGCACAAAGTAATATTGTGCAATTTTCACTGCATATATTCATGTATATAAATTTTTACATTATACATATGTGTTTACTGTTATATCGCATAACGTATATATTCAAGCTTTATCTTATTCTTAGATTTGATCATTTCTTCTTTTCGGCATATTAGGCAGCTGAAATGATTTTAAAATGCAAGCATAGATTGCAGACAACAAACTATGCTTATACCTGCTAATCTGGAGTAAGTTTGTATTCACGACGGATAAGATGCATTTGTCACTGCTTGCTCGCGCGATTCGGCAGAGTAAGGCGACGTATATCGATTTGTTCGACGACCGTGTCTTTTAGACCATTAGTCACACTCGCAACAAGCTTCTCACTTATTTTCGCGATTTCTTTTCGTTGCACGTCGCAAAGAAACACATTCGAGTCAGACGTCGTTAAACGTGATAAATTTAAAGCTTCGACAGACGTCATGCAAAGTAATATACCCTTCTTATTTCTTCTATCGGAAATTTCTCCTTGCCATATATATTCGTGTATCTGAGATAAAGATATCGATTCTTTTTAAAATTTGCACTGATAATTTATCAGCGATAATTGGTCCAACAATTTTGCAGCCGTTTATTCTCAATTCAGTTATAATTCTCAAGAGTATTTCTATTAAGAGTTCATAGAAACACATATGTCATATATTCATATGATATTAAAGTCTTATCGAAACTATTTGCTAATAATTGGTCAATATTTAACCAGCAAATGAAAAACCTGGCCTAAAAGTATAATTTAGGTAATAAATCAGTTTTAAATCCTTATTTTGTTTCAATGATTTTACTGCACACAAATGTGTAAAAAGTCACAAACATTTCTTAAAATATGAAGTTAACACATTAACATAAACTGACATGAATAATTGTATGAAAAATGTCATTACATTGTATGTATTTACTAATTATAAATTAATATAAGAGTAGCAAACAAGATCGTCATATCTTGATGTGAAATGTGACATGGGTGGGCCCTCTTTTATTTATACATATAATGACTAAAGTTATTTATTATTATACAGTATTTTAAAAATAGATGGACAAACTTTAAGAGCATATTCTACTCACTGTAAGAATAGAAAAAATCATATAAACATTCGTCTGGAAATGCTTTCTTTTCAAGTTATAAAAACTTTTTATTTACAACAAATTTTAGTAAATCCTTGATTAACTGTATTGGGTAAAAAAGATCCAGTTTTCCTAAGTTGACGATGGGTCGCAATAAATAAACTTATAGTAGGACATCGTTTTTGAGGAAAGATTTGTCGATAGAGACGCTAAACTTTCCTGCAAATTCCATTAGTTCACTCATACATACAGTGGAGCTGCCAATTGTATGTTCGAATAAGTTACCATCTTGATAAAATATCTTAACTCTTTAATGATTAAATAAAGATTAATTCTTTCAAATAGATTAATGGACCCAATTTTATATGATTTGTTTTCATTCTTACAGTGAGTAGAATATGCTTTTAAAGTTTATCCATCTATTTTTCAAATACCTTGTAATTTAAGATATAAAATTTCTGTTAACTCAAATTTCTATAATAATAAATATAGAGGAATGTTGAATCTTATCAAAACATGACGTGATGATGACTTCTTTGCTTACAATAATAAGTATATTGTTTTTATTTGGCACAATATAATACAAGAAATATTTTTATTCGAAAACGATTATGAGAAGTATACATAGTTGTGTGTAAGTGTGTGTGTGTACGAAACAGTGTAAAGTTAGAAACAAAGGAATCAAGATAATATTTTTTTAATTAAAATCTTTAATCACATTGCTTATTAAAAATATTTTGTTAAAATTGATATGATTGTGAGAGATCCAATAACATTATCATGTGTCTCCATAAGATTATAAAATTTATCGATGTATCTTTTACAACTGAAGTTATTGTTGTATGGAACATAAAAGCGTCAGACACGAAAGCATTAAACTCATGCTCTAAAACGAAAAAGTATTATTTAAGAAGCTGAATGATATGATGATTATATTTATTAATAATATGATTTCGAACCGTGGCCAAAGTTTCCAAAGAGGGACTAAACAAACCACCAGCATCAACTTTGTAAGTTTTTGTAGTTTTTCTCATCACAAAAAGTACAAATTTTTGTATCTTTAATGGGGTCTGGTACCATTTCGTATTACATCTATATTGCAAAAAATTACTTAGTCTCTAAACATCTTTGATAATTATTCTATTGTATATAATTATCATTGTATATTATAAGTAAAGAAAATTTTATTAAAGTGGAGAACTTTATGCGAAATAAATAAATTTCTTTTATTAATAACTTTTTAAGGAACAACGAGCGACGTTTAAAATATTCTGAAGATCACTCAAAAGGGTGATCTATAATATATGTCAAGGTGTCAAGATTATTCGAGCTGACTCCTTTGTACTCAATAATTACCATATTTTTATATAGAACCGATATAGGTATGTACAAATTTTTGATGCAATATTACGGGTTGTAAAAGGATATATTAAATACATGACATACATCGTGTGATGGACATGCTCGTCGTGATTTATAAATTCTTGCCCAACAAAATTACCTATAACTATAAATAAAAAAAGAAAAATCACATAACAAATTAATTTAATAATTTCCATTTTTTCCTGATGCAGCGTCACTATTCGAAATAGCTGGAAGTAAAATCGATGATTTCAATACTTATAAAACTAGCGATCATAATTATATATAACCAGTATATACGTACACGAAAGAAAGAAACTATTGCTGAACATATAGCTGTTACCATCATAAGTAGATACGATGGTCCCAAGCTTACTTTTAATAAGTCCGAAAACCTATTAGAATAAAAGTTTTTCGTCATTATTCGCCATCATTAAATTACAGAAAACTACAATTCTATTTTCAAGCTCTTGCTAATACTATATTCGTGTAAAAGATATAATAGGAATTAGTGACATACTAACTTAAGCGCTCTTCTGTGAATGTCCACTGCGGCACTTAGCCTATCATGGAATATAATATAGCTTTTGGCTATGGATATTTGTGAAACATCTATGCTTAACATACGTTCCATACGATAACTACAAAATTCTGTATGTTATGAAATAGATATACGGGGTGTCTAACACAAGAGGACCCCTACGAAAAATGGTGGTAGATTGGGTCAGGCTAAGATGAAAAGTCATGTACCATTTTACAAAATTCGCAATAGTTATCAAATAATTTATTGAAACTTTTAAGCGAATGAGCGCGTAGAGAGCGGTAGGTCAGGCTCAGAAGGCATGCGAGGGGCGGGCGCTAGCGGTAAACATTAGATTCTCCTAAAGTATGTCTTAGTAGGCGGTTCCGGGGGAGACCCGTTTATAGTGCGGAGGACGGTCCAAGGAGACTATTTTTAGCCAGTACTCCCGCTTAACGGGAAAATCTAAGGCATAACTATCCAGGACGGCCTGATGGTACGCATAAAACGTTTTCCCCTGCTTTCGGAGAAAAAAGCGATAAGCACTAGATAGAGACCCTCTATTAGATCCCATAGCGTCTGACCATAAGGAAGCACGCTGTGATTGGTCCGCCATTTTTCGTCAGTTTGCGTCAGTTTTATAAAACGGTTGTACGCATTACGTTCTATCGCTCTCTACGCGTTTATTCGCTCAGACGTTTCAATAAATTATTTGATAACTATTGCAAATTTTGTAAAATGGTACATGACTTTTTTTTTTAGCCTGACTCAATCTACCACCATTTTTCGTAGGGGTTCTCTTGTGTACAGACACCTTGTATAATACAATATAATAATGACACTAATTAAAAACTTTATTAATTAAGTTAATAAAGTTAAATATTAAAACTATATATAGCATACAGTTAGAGTATACATTATTTTAATAAGTATTGATATATCAATATTATATAATACAATACATAAATGTGTGTATATAAATAAATTCAGCAATAATAAATATGAGTCAAATATACATTCGAGGGTGTCTCATATTATTTATAATACTTCTTACTTTTCTATTATTTATAACTTTCTTTCTTGCTCTATTTCTTCTCACTATTTTATTTGACTGTGTGATTTATTTAACTATGTGATTATTCATAAATTTATATAAAGTAAATTTATATAAATTGATATAAAATGAGAAAAACGCAACGCAAGAGTAGAAGTAATAAATGATAAGGAGAAGAGAATAAACAATTCCAGGACCTTATACAGGGTGAGTCATATCATTTTTTACAACGCTCGTGAGGCGGTAGAACAGATCGAGATGAACAGGAAAGTCCTGTACCATTGTGAAATTTTCGCAATAGTTAATGAGTAATTAAATATTAAAAATCGTCGTCTGAGTTCGGCCCACCGCCCAATGCGAGCGCGTGGCCAGATGTGACCGCCCGGCGATCGATATTGCCAGGCGTGGTGCGACGAGACGCGGGAACGGCGTCGTAAGCTCGCGGTCAACGGCGCGCTGACTCCCCCCTCCTGGTAATATCGATTGCCGGGCGGTTACATCTCTCCACGCGCTCGTATTGGACGGTGAGCCGGGCTAAGATGACGATTTTTAATAATTAATAACTTGTTAACTATTGCGAAAATTGCAAAATGGTACAGGACTTTTCTATTCATCTCGATTCGTTCTACCACCTCACGAGCGTTGTAAAAAATGATATGACTCACCCTGTATATTGTATAAGACATAAAATTTAATAAATACTATAAATAGGAAAATACAGATTAACATTAACAGATTAATCTTACTCGAATAAAAAGAAGTAATTAATTGCCTAGAATTCTTTTTATGGATATGCATAGAATATTCTCTTCATAAAAAAACAATACTGAATTATTAAATTTGTAACTTAAAAGAAATAAAAGCAGACATAAAGAAAATTTTTTAATGAGAATTGTATCTTGCTTACGATGTACCTAGCAATTTTAAACATTCCGAAAGCATGTATTGCGTTTACTAATGAAAATGATTCAGCAGCTATTCCAGTAGTTCCAACAAGGAGTATCCCAATAACATCATGTATTATTAAGATATGAAAATATTTTTGGTGGTCGATAAAATTTTTCGCCTGATGGAGAAGTATACGTGGACGAGATTCATTTAAAGGCATTACAAAATCAAGTAAATCCGGAATATATTGTACCATAGTGAAACCAATAATTCCAAAATAGACGCATGCTAAAATTAACAAAAATTTACAAATTTATTTAGTTACGGAGAATAACTGTTGTCTCATGTGCAAATATCTAAATTATTTGTTATAATCAAGTGCACTAATTATAAAAATTATAAAAATACTTGTTTTTATAACTAACATGTACAATAGATTATATTTTATACAAGTAAAAGAATCTTTTTAGTTGTTGGTAATATTTATGGTATATAAATGTTGAAAAAATCTTTAATAAAAATGTACGTAGTTGCCATTTAAAAATCAATTAAGAATTCAAAGTTTTTATTAAATTTCGGTTTCTGAAAAGATAGCGCTAGAGTAATTATAACAAAATTTATCTAAAGAAAGATTAGAAAATTGATTGTATTAATTTTAAGTTGCATTTCTCCTTTACACTTCAGAAATACGTTATTATTATCTCAAATAACTCAAATTTAATTGAGATAAAGTAATTGAAAATTTATTCAACAATTTTTATTCACTTGCTATAACTATTGTAGATTGTTTTCCAATGTTTGTATATTTGTACATTATATTAATCTCTCGATCGTCTGCCAGAATGCTCCAATTATTTTGGATATATTTTTGTAATCGTTTTATCTATTAATAAATGTAAATACTATTATATTATACATTATAGCCACTAATTTCATGTTTAATTATTCCGGAACTTACGTTTCTCATAACAGAAGAAAAAGCGATATATTTGATAAACCATACTAAAATAAGGAAATTATAAGCTAATACTTCAAGCAGAAGATCAAGGCTACACCCCGGAACCAATAATTTCGCAAACTGTAAGCAACACTTACTGATGTACAAATAATATTGTATGATTATAGAATTGCTAGCGGATTCTGCATATCTGAAAGAAAAGTTATTTAAAAAACTCATACACACATGGGGGGGGGGGGGTGCATCGTTTGCCTACATTCCTGATTGCCAACAACTTCCCTGGCTTACATTTTACCGACAGCTTTGTACACATTTCCAATTGTACGGTTTTATGGGTTTGAAACTTCCGCAATATGAGATCCTCCCGTTAAGCCTTGTGTCCACGATCCGAGAACTGTGTCCAAGTTCTAGTTCCGAGAAATGTGTAATCAATCAACTTGCATCTTTTACAGAAAAGCTGCAAGTTGATTGGCTACACATTTCTCGAAACTCAACCTTGATACAGTTCTTGGATCGTGGACACAAGGCTTTAGATAATTCAATATATTGCGTATTTATGGTGTAGATTATCTAAATTATATTATTATTGACACCCATACCAATTGTAATTTATATTGTAATTTATTATACAGGGTGTCGGATTCGATTTGGACCACACCAAAGATTATAATAGATTGGGTCAAACTGAGAAGAAAAGTTATATAACATTTTACAAAATCCGTAATTATTATCGCGTAATTAAGAAAAACGTCTGAACCAATAAGTGCACGGGAGAGCGGAAGGCCGGACTCGGCAGACATGCAAAATAGTGTATCTGTTGACTCTCAAGATCCGATAGCGAGAGGTGGAGTCACGCATCGATCGATGAGAGACGTCGGCGAGCGGGGAGCGGTGAGCGGGCGAACAGCGCGCAGCGAGCGAACGCGCGACATATGACCGCGCCGAAAAAGTTTTTCTGGTGGTAGGAGAATAATACACCATTTTGCATGTCTGCCGAGTCCGGCCTTCAGCTCCTCCGTGCACTTATATTGGTTCAGATGTTTTTCTTAATTACGCGATAATAATTACGGATTTTGTAAAATGGTATATAACTTTTCTTCTCAGTTTGACCCAATCTACTATAATCTTTGGAGTGGTCCAAATCGAATCCGACACCCTGTATATTGAAATAAAAAAGCTTAAATAACCTTTAATATTTAGATTAAAATTTAATAAGTTTAATTGAACATGTATACTTAATTATGAAAATTTATGTGAAAATGTTTATTACACTGAAACAGCTGTGGTATGAGAGATTCATTTAAAATAATTTTTTTATCAAATATGCAGAGATGACGTACTTATACAGGGTGTTATGTAATACCCGCATCAACGCTTATTGTGGGATAGAGTGGACTAGACTAAGTCGAAAAGTCCTGTACCACTTTGTAGGTTTTGCAATAGTTAACGAGTTATTAATTATTAAAAATCGCTGTCTTAGGCCGGCCCACTGCCCAATTCAATTGAATTTGCCACAATAAGCATTGATGCGGGTATTACATAACACCCTGTATAACAAGCTACACATAACAAGTATATCACGCGTGCCAAGATTCGTAAAAGAACAGACTTCCCTCGATTTATGCGGAGTATCTGTTACATCTAATTATGATTACATTAAAAAAAAACATGATTGATTTGTGAACGTTTCGACTCCAATTTGAATCATTTTCAATTCTCACAAATCCTTTGTTAGACTAAATAGTGAATGCTTCCAGATTCTTGGGTCAATTTTGTTTTTAATTGATTCAAAATTGTTATCTTCATCATTAGAAATATTTGGCAATTCTACTTTTTTAGTTTTATTATCAGTATGTCTCTTTTAAAGATATATTTTCTAACCGCGTAAAATTGAGGCTGTCTATAAGACATACAGCATAAATCAAGGAATGAGTATATTTATATTTAAAAATCATCTAAATGGTATATTAGCTTTCTTAATTAATTAGGTAAGTAATAAAGATAACTGACAATATATGTTGGGCATAGATTTAAATTGAATCTAATAATATCCAACAGTACAAAGAATTATGATAGTTACGTGAATGTTAAAAAGTATGACATAATAAATCTATAAACTCAGAGATTTATTCATTATTTGCGTAGCGTAAAATGTATGTGGAATATGTATACATGTATAATTTGATAATATCCTAAATCTCACGTAGGTATTTACGTGACACTTTTAAAATTATTCTATAATATGATGTATTAATTTGATATGTAATGCATGTAAAATTGTCCTATTAATCTTAAATAATCAAGTAAAATAATTGTAAAATACGGAAAGAAATGTAAAGAGTATGATTATTTTAACTTTACAATTAAGCATAAATCAAAATTAAATTATCATTTATTTTGGAGAGTGTTTACCTTAAATATTTATATTAAAAGAACTTTTATCAAGTGGATATGGGAAATGTAGATTTCAATATAACGTATAAAATTAAGTATATATATAACGTATTAAAAATAGTAACGTAGATACCTGAAGTGTTAAAAATGATATGTATATCAGTAGTGATAGTATGACTTGAATGTATTTGATGCTAGAATTATCGTATGGCCAGAGTCCAATCGATGATAATAGAATATGGTTGAGTCTATAGTATTTCCCCTCGGGGAACTCCATCTCAAATAACAGTTCAAGCGTTACTGTGAGCCCATAGCCTATAGAAGTTTTTTTTCCCTTACTCAGTTACTGTTCACTTAATTCTTTCAATATCATATATTATTGTATTATCAGCTTTTCAATGTTACGGTACTTTGTTCTCATACAGACATTAAAAATAAATGCTATAATTGCAATTTGAATATATGTAATATGCCTATATTCGTGTAAGAAGAACGTAAGGTTCAAAGTGTAATTTAAAAAATGCTATGTTTCTCGCAACAAAACAACTATACCTTTATTCTATTTTACCCGATTACAGTAATAACTAAATTACCGTAATTTACATTTATGTGAGGCATGTATTAATGTTTCTCATTTTTCTTATGTCCCATGCGCACGCGTAGTGGAGTGTATTTCATACCAGTAGAACGTACAAATCAAGCATAGTGCCTATGTATTTTCGATTCATTTTTCGGGTGTAGAAGTATTAAGAATATTCAAAGCATAATAACAAGTGATAGTTGAAAAGTTACAAATCATCAAATGATAAACGATGAAAAATAAACGCGAAGATATCATCAGTACTGTTTATTGCGACTAATATTACCACATGCCTCAGTGGTCGAATTGGTGAGACGCCCTCCTAGAGTGTAGGGAGGTCCAGGTTCAAACCCTGGCTGAGGTAATATTTTTCGCAATAAATTTCTTTAATTAGAATTTGCCAGCCATTGGCCGTCATGAAATTTTTCTACATTGTTTAATCAATTACTGGCGTTAAATAATTCTGTACGTTTTTTATAATTTATTTCCTTTGAAGTGAAATCTGTTTAGTGGAAAATTCATTGTTAGGTCGTGTAATTGTTGCAAAAAATATTTATGATTGAATTTGAATGTTGAAAACTTGCTATCTCATATTAGAAGTCTATTTCATAATAGGAGACTTTCTTATATCTATATTTTATTACTATTATGAAACAAATATGTGAAAATTGATGAAGCTATAAAAACTTCACATTAATTACTGTTACATCATTATTTTTCCTTTTAATAGCAGATTTACGAATAAGCTAAACTAGATATTTTTAATAAACTTTCAAGTAAGACCCTCTATCTAAAACTAACAATGTATGAGAACACACTTAATGCGGGTTACAAGGCAAGATGTAGGAACACGGAAAAACAATTCGGTGCGTAGCACTAATGTGGAAAGAAACGGTATATAGATTCACAATTTTCAGAAAGATTTGAAGATCTACAAGTTGGGCAACCTACATCTTGCCTTGTGACCCGCATCCCAAATAGCACAAAAACGTTCCATTAACATTCTAGGAATATACGCCAAGAACATTCGAAGATTCCAGGAATCTTCTAATAATCGT